TTAGTATTATTTTGGGTTCGTCGGATTTTCGGTGCATCTTTTGGACTTAGTAAATTTGCTGTCATTGAATATAAACAAGAAAAAATACACCAAGTACCTTAATCCTTTTCGAAACGATGCATTTTTAATATCCTTTGCTTCCTATATCAAAATATAAGTTTTCATAAAAAGTGGACTTACCAACTTTTCACTTAAGCTAGTGATATGTAATTATGTAAGATGTAGCCTCAGTAACTCTCTTCCCATTTTGTAATTATTTTTGAATTTCATAACATCAGAATGCCATATGATTTCTAAGGACGTCAAAGAGAAGTTCATTTTCGTTCGGATTTTGCAGCGAATTGGAATAAACATGAAAATCGTTACATCTAGGGTTCTACTAATTTTTGAAGTAACACTCGTTCGCGTTCAAATACAAACGTATTACTCAAGAGTAAGGCCACGTCGAGTGTTCTACATATGTACATACATATATGTATGTACATATACGACTTCTCTACTTTTGATATCGAAATTCTTTTTGTTTTCATTAACAATATTTCTTTTCTTTAACCCCTGGCTGCAATTTAAAATGCTTTCCTTTTTTCTATTGCTAAAATTATAAATACGGGTAGCACTGCACCGTATGCATATCAACACTTGAAAATAAATGAAATTGTTTTCTCGTTAACAAAGATATCCACCCATCCCACCTTGTGTTCACATACATACATATACATATATATATAGAAATGTATGTAAGTATTATTGTCGCGAGTATCAAAATGTTTATGGCAATCATTAAGACATTAATTTTTACAGCGAATACATTTTAATTATTTATATTGTACAGCTTTACATACTTACATAAATATCCATAGTACACATGGCTCATTCCACAGTGACAGGTGCGATATTTTAACTGACATTTATTACCGGTTTACACCGTAAGTCATAATAATAATTGTAAACACTAACAACCCGAAACCTTTAAAATATTCATTCACCTACTCACACTCAAAAAAAAAAACTTCTTTTAATTGAAGAAACACAGCAATCAAAATGAAAAAAAATGGGAACGAAATAGCACTAAAGAAGTTTTATCCTCTTTTCATGCCCATCATTTCTTCAAAATGATTGATTACATCCACGGTTCCATATTTTCGTGTACGTTTTTACACATTTCAAAGAAAAATTACTCATTCGGGAGAAGTTTTTATTCATTCGGAAGAATTTTCGACCTTTAAGTAAGGAAAGTTTTTCTTTGATCCAGAGATGGATTTTTGGTTCACTGCAATGGGCATAAACTAGTTAGCAGAAAAATTATGATAAGAATAATGTGTTTCTAATTTTATTTTCACGATTTGGATCAAATATCTTCTTTATTTTATTTTTTGAAATGCCATGCTAGGCACATAAACCTATTTAACACAAAATAATCAGTTTCAACACTGAACCAAAAATCCATCTCTGGATCAAAGAAAAACTTTCCTTACTTGAAGGTCGAAAATTCATCCGAATGAGTAAAAAATTCTCCCGAATGAGTAATTTTTCTTAAGAATGTGGAAAAACGTACACGAAAATATGGAATCGTGGATGTAAACTTTCATTTTGAACAAATGTTGGGCATGAAAAGAGGATAAAACTTCTTTAGTGCTATTTCGTTCCCATTTTTCTTCATTTTGATTGCTGTTTTTCTTCAATTAAGAGACGTTTTTTTTGATTGAAATATGCGTACATTTGTATGTACATACATACATATATACAGAGGTGGAACAAATTATAGCCGCACCACATTTTGACAAGCTCTAACTAGGGGCGAACGCAGGTAGGAGTTTTGGGGGTTCAACCCCCCAAATCCCTGCGGAAAATTTTAAGAATTTTCTTTTCATTTAGTTAGTTGCGCAAACAAAGACACTATTGTTTTTATTTCCGTAAAAGTGTGCGTGCATTTTCAACTATTTGCAAAAATCTGCAGATAAAGAACACATCAAGATTAATAATTAGAAAATATTACATTGATTTGAAATTTTGCTTTCAACCGGACTAGAAATTGATGTTGATAGATAACTCATACGCCATGACATATGAACGATATAAGTTGCAGGGCTGTCAGCTATCCTTAGCTATGAGGTGCCATATTGAGGATAAAAAAGTGCCGAAATGTGCCATATAGGAAAATAAAAGTACCAAAAAAGGAGTCATCCTTTTTAATTCTTCTCATTTAGCAATAAAATAAGAACCACATTTCTAAAACAAAAGTGCAATGCCAAAATAAGATAATCCAGTTGAATAATCTTTAAAAATTAGAAAATGTTAGTTGAGAAAGAGAAGTAGACGCAAAGAATTTCACAAAAATGTATTGAAATATTACCAATTTTGAAAAGTACCATTTTGGCACTTTGTGCCAAATTGAAGAATCAAGTGCCATTTGATGTACAATAGGGCCACAAAACGGCACGGTTTGAGCCAAGCTGGTAGCACTGATAAGTTGTCTCTCGCACGCCCGCACTCACGGAAATGACGTTTTTGACATTTTTCATAGGATGTGACCACCAGAATAGGCTGGCTGTAGATATTTCATCTATTTAGTTATAATGTGCTGTCAAAAGGACAGCCCATCTGAAGTATGTTGACTTATACTTGCAACAATGCTATTTCAACATGGGCTGTGAGTACTTCAAGACGATTAAGCTCACAAAAATTTTCAATCGATTTGAAGTATGATGGGTTTTTCGGTCATGAGCTCTCCATCTAGACGCTCTGGTAACACCACCTTATATGAATTCGCCTTGGAACTAACATAATCCCATAAAGTACTACATATGTACTATATCCATATCTTTGTTTTGAATTTTAAGGTTTTCGAAGCTTTCGTAATGATAAAAATAATTGGACTCAAATTGCATCTTTCAATATTTTGCATTTTCAATATTATTTAGAGTTTCAACTTGAACCCGGCGTTACTGGCCCATATTTTGAGATACAATTAATTTACCAATTTGGGGAAAAAAGTGTTTTTTCAATGTCCGTGAATCACCAACACAACAAGTGCTACGGTTCGAATTCATTCTGTTAAAATAATGAACTAACTGAAAACTTCTACCCCTCCGGCTCCCGAATTTGCACAAATTACAGTTACAGTCGAAAATTCTCCGGACGAGTGTCAAATAGCGAAAAAATGACGATACTCCGGCGCTGAGGAGCTTAGTGCAACTGATTCCCGAATAAGAGTTCATTTCCACCAAGCCTGAATTACAGTTAATGCCTATTGGAAAAAGGAGATAACACCTCGAAGGGGATAATTGCTCATATTAAATAAAAGCAAACGAAAGCAAGAAAGCAAAAAGTAAGAAATAAATCTTGCATTTACCTGAGCCTTTAACTCAGTTAAGCTCATGGTGAAAATGGGCTATAAGTTACCGAGTCCCACAGTTCCCAGTCTATAATGATGAAATAGAGAAGATCTTATTGGAATTTTATTAGCATGTATGAAGATTAACGATTAGGCGTAATTTGATTTAGGCCCAAAAATGGTCGCTTCTCTAAGTTTTAAAAAATTTTTACCACCATTGTTTTAAAGATGCCGATGATTTCACAGCCCTCTGCGTCTCGAAAATCAGGTTTTTAATTCGCTGCGACCAATATTACATATTCACATTCTTGCAGGTTCCGCTTAATGCCGTGTCTTTTTGTCGCGATAACGAGAATTATGAAGTCCTTATGAAGGCCTTCGACCAAACGTAATTTTAAATTTGAACTACCACGTATTAAAATGTGCCAAAATGAGAATGTGCAAAATATGACATTCGAAACATCCCTAGTACATACATACATAAGGATGACCAGGAATTAACGACGATGATACAGTGGCAAACGATTACAAGGCAAAAGTATTCCAAGCGTCAAAATGAAGGTTAAAAATTATAAACAATGCAATAACATTGACATTGGCCTGCATTAGCATATGAGTCCAATAAATATATGTCCATATATATGAACATATATATATAGCTGTATGTATGTGTGTGTGTACAGTAAGGTGGTCCAAGAACGCACGTAAGAAAAGTAAAGTCGGAATTGTAACCGTCTCAGCCCCTAGGATTGTTTAGTATCGAAAAAAAAACAACCGTGTTTTTTTGAAATCAAAAAATATTTACAGGTCACTCAACGCGCTCAAAGTTTTACATGTATTTTATATGGCAAAAAAATATATTTTTCGTGGAAATGGTATGGAATCCTTGAAAATGCATAATTTTCAATCGGTTAATTCTGTTTCTCTTCAGAAGCGTTCAAAAAATAGTACCCAATGGTTTATTTAAAATTGTTTAATACTAACGATTTCTGCGTTTTGGGACGTCCTAAAAAAGCTAATATTAAAAAATTGTTAAATAAACAATTGGGTATTAATACTTGAATCTCCCTAAAAAAACAGTTTGCCGATTGTAAAATATTAATTTTCAAGGATTCTTAACCATTCCTACGAAAAATCGAAAAATATTTTTTTTGTTATATAAAATACATGAGAAACTTTTTGAGCTTTAAGCGACCTCTAAATATTATTTGGTTTAAAAAAATAAATTAGGGGCATATTTTTTCGATATAAAACCATCCTAGGGGGTGAGAGCATCAAAATTCCTTTCATTGAACCACCCTAATGCACATATATAAACATATGAAACTTTCACAACTGGCCATACTCATTTATGTACATATGTATATGTACATACCTACGTATTAAGGCTAGAGTCAAATGGACTATCCATAATGCAAAACTGAAAGTCACCTTTGGGATATATGTATGTAATTGCAATATGTAATATGTATATTCGTACTTACAACAAATGGGTTGGACACAATTGCCGGCGGTCCTTTGTTGTAGCCGTCCGTTTTTTTTCTTCTTGTAATTTTAAAAATATAATCTGAAATTATGTACATTTACAGTATTAACGGTTGTTGCATGTGGCATATCAATATTGCAGACAATTACATTTATGTATGTTTTTCCCACTTTTTTACAGTTATATTAATACGTTTTTAATGATGTAAAATACCAATGGAGTAAAAAAAATATGTATGTATGTTCTGAGGATAAGTGAAAAAATTTAGTTTTTTTGTTGTTTCTGCAGCTGAAGTAACTTTCAAAACATATGAATGCGCATCTCTTATATACACCCATCACGCACTTCCCACAGCTATCTACAGCTCCCATTTAATGCTTTCGTACACTGCCACCAACATTATCAGAAGACGAATTCGCATTCGCAACTGCATCATCACCTTCAACCGCTATTTCCGCATTACTAAATACAATAAATCCAATACACATGAGATCATAAAATTACTGCAACTGCATATGTACGATCGACTATGGATCGCAGCAAAAATAATAGTTTAGAATTTGGTAAGAACTCAGCGGCGTCGGCCGCCAATGCAGGCGCAATGTCAGCACCCTGGGCGAATAATAAGGAGTCTGCGTCACAGCCGAATGAGGATGATTCGCCGGAGGATGACGCTGATACTGCCACACCAGCAAAGGTTACCGATCCATTGGCGCCAAAACTGGCCAATAATGAGGTAAGCAGCGACATACGAAACTGTAATTTTTATGAGCATATTTAATGTGTAGTAGCTTTGCATCTATCAGAGATTGTCTCTATTAAAAAAGGTAACTTCATAGCTCTTCTATTCCAAACTTAGCCACAGTTCAAGTTAGAACTTAATTGTTCCTAATCTCTTAACTCTTAGTCAACTGTTTTTGTTTAAAAAAGTATCGTCGCTACCATGTCAAACTATCGAATGTGCGAAAATGCTTTTTCAATTACGATCAGCGTTGCCGCTTTGGTAATATTTAACCAAAATTTTAAATTTTTTTCTTGGTGATTTGGTAATTTATTTTTCAATTTGGTAACTTTTTCGATTCGGTNGTAATTTTTTTCTTGGTGATTTGGTAATTTATTTTTCAATTTCGTAACTTTTTCGATTCGGTCCTACATGTCACGTAGGTCAATACAGGATCTGATTCCACATTAGGAAGTGGCCCGTAAGCGATTACTTTTATAGAAATACCAGGTAATCATTCGCAAGGCGAAAATTTGTTCCAACGTTGCTATATCAACTGAGTCCTATCCCGGAAGGTAGTGGGTGGTCGTACCTTTCCGTGTCAGTGCATCAGCTTTGCAATTGCCATCAACATTCCTGTGTATCCCGGCAACCATATGAGTAGAGTTNCTTCGCAAGGCGAAAAGTTATTCCAGCGTTCCTTGGTTCTAGAATGGTGTGATCTCTAACAAAATACTTGAAAGTGGCTATTGCTATATCTACCGAGTCCTATCCCGGAAGGTAGTGGGTGGTCGCACCTTTCCGTGTCAGTGCATCAGCTTTTCAATTGCCATCAACATTCCTGTGTATCCCGGCAACCATATGAGTAGAGTTCTATGTGAATATGTATGTTCTCGTTCAAAAAGCTACGGCATTCAGTATACCCTATAGGCACTTCACTTTCGAATGAAAAAATTAAACACCGAAACCGGTTTGTCTGCAAACCAAACTTGACAAGGGATGACGGAAATTCGTTCCAAAATAAATCATCTTACCACCCTGTCGGAAAAATCAACCAACACCAACACTTCACTTTGTCTATGTGTGAGTTTAAAGCTTGCCCTTAAGCGTTGAATTTTTGAGATATTTTCGGCTACTTTTTGACATATGTATGTACATATGTACATGTATATTTGCCATAACTGGGCAAACGTTGATTTTAAAGTGCTCCAAAGTTTGGGGTTTATTCGTATACATACGGCCGTCCGAGTAGAATCATAAAAGGTCCAATGGTGCCAAGTGGGATGCTCTCAGTGGCCAAATGATATCGTCTCTACGGGAAATTATGCGCCTGATAATCCTCTGTTGCAAATGCAAAATATACTATTCTGAGCCATAAGACAGTACCATGTTCTTAAAAGGACGCGCAATCGACAAATTTGTTTCTTCGGCCACACTCAGGAGTGAAATCCTCACCAAGCGTTTCTAGTGTCGTAGCTTTCAGCGTTCACGCAGTTATAAAAATTATAGCTGAGTGGAGCGCTTTTCGTTGAACTTGGTAACTTATTCGGTTGATTTTGGTAAAAAATAAAAAAATTTGGGGGCCANCAGGTGTGAAATCCTCACCAAGCGTTTCTAGTGTCGTAGCTTTCAGCGTTCACGCAGTTATAAAAATTATAGCTGAGTGGAGCGCTTTTCGTTGAACTTGGTAACTTATTCGGTTGATTTTGGTAAAAAATAAAAAAATTTGGGGGCCACACTGATTACGATACCTTGCGCATGCATAGGATAGCGGTTTTAACAAAGTGTCGAATCCCACACGTTTTCCTAATGACAACAACATGTTTTACAACATTTTCGTTGCTCTCCGGAAAAGTACCTATGTTCACATTTGAAAGTTTGGCATGGTAGCGACGATATGTACGTGTAATAACCTTCCCCTTCTTTTTGCTTGGCTCTACAACCGTTCGTCGGTTTGGACCGAGATAAAAAACTGCAGCAATTATTTCTCTCCTTTGCGAAGTTGCGCCAGGTGGAAAACCCCAAGTACAGACAGGCCCTTTTGCAATTGGTCCTTTCTTTGTGTTGGTGGATGGCCTGTCATCCGGGCCCATGAGTTCCGAATCGAAGGATCCTCGTCATCCATGCATACATCATGTCGAATCTAGCGCAATCGTTGTATTTTTATGCGCTTAACTATATCCATGTCGAAATATAGCTTGTACAGTTCCTCATTACATCATCTTCGGTACTCGTCGCTAACGTGAACAGGACGATAAATTTTGCTTAGAATAACTCTCTAGAAAGCCCCCAACGCCTTTTTGAATGAATATAAAAGGTCGGACATGATGAGAGATTTGTTGAACGTAGAGCGTAATTTTTGTTCGTCGGGAAAGGTTATGCTAATCAATTGCCTACCGAGGGCAAAGTGACACCTGTTGGCAAGAGTTATTCTTCATTTGATCTCCAGACTGACACTGTTGGTGGTGTTTATGCTCGATCATAGGCAGACAACAGTGACATGTGTCGCAAAATACCAGGACTTTTTGTGTGTTACCAGGAGGTACTTTGTCTTGTCCTCGTTCACCGCTAGACCAACCTCTTTACATTAACATATAATACTGCAGACAAAAGTAAATAATATTTAGTTACCTCGTTGACATAAAAATCATGGCTATTAGCGCGGTTTCGCCCCAAAATTAAGAAAAAATTTTGGTCTGGCCGTGAACGAGTAACACTTTGTAAACCATGTCACTGCCGCATCTTCAAATAAAACAAGACTTTATCTATTTAAGGAATCTATCATATCTAAACCCCGCCAACAAATTAATCACACTCGAGATGAACTTAACTTTTGCCAACAGTTGCCATTTTTGAGCTCGATACAGTAATTTCCTCTTCACGCTTGCACATAGGATTATTAGAGCTCAAGCACAAGGAGGCCAGAATGTTCCGGCGAAGCTCATAGGGGGTCTTAATTTTTAGCTTTTATATGGTGCTTAGTAATTGATTCCCTACTAGTCAATGTTTACAGCTAAAATATCTTCGCAAACCGAAGTGGGTCTGCCACATTGCAGGCCTCTCTCTTTCAATTGCTGACAGGAAACCCCCAAGAAAACTGAATACGATTGACTGAAACTTGGAGTGTTGGCCATAATATTAATGACACTTGGAGGTACTTAGGCTCAAAACTTTTCAGCATCTCCTCATACGTGCCTACGTACATATGTAATTAGAGCCCTTATAGATTTTTTATTATATATATGTACCCCACAATCTTATGTAATCGTAAGAAATTCATGTCTTATCAACTCTACTTTCTTTAACTTTTCCACCCACAGCGCGTGCTCGTCGTTTCCGTCACAGAGCGCACCCGTGAGACGTGGAGTCAGAAAGCGGAGTTCTTATTAGCAGTCATTGGTTTCGCTGTCGATTTGGGTAATGTTTGGCGCTTTCCCTATATTTGCTATCAAAATGGCGGCGGTGCTTTCCTCATACCCTACTGTGTGATGCTGATATTTGGAGGCTTGCCGCTCTTCTATATGGAACTGGCGTTGGGTCAATTTCATCGTTGCGGTTGTTTGAGTATATGGAAGCGCATTTGCCCGGCACTTAAAGGTAAATTAAAAAAAAGGAAACAAAATACTACCTAGGTACAAAGCGCAATACTTTGCCATTAAGCGCTCAAGGATATACACATAAAACGAAAGCAGGAAAGCAAATATCTTAAGCATGCCATGGGGGAAATATAAAGGAGGCAATAAAAAAAAACCAACAACTTGTTGATTCTTTATTCGAGCGCAAGCGTATTTATCGCAAATCAAGCAAATTCCACAGGTGGCTGCTCCGTATTTTGCTCTGTATTGTTGCATTTTCCTTAAGGCCGTACAATTCGTTTCCTGTGCTGTTTGGATAGCTTGTTGTGGCTGCACTTTTAATCCCACGTGATTTCTCAGTAATTTTTCTTCAATTCAAATGAGTCTTTATCGATGCTTATGAGGCTAATCAGTCACGTCCGATATTTACCTATACTGTTGAACGTGTCAAAATTTGTATGCATGCTTATGTATGCATTAAGCCCATAAAATCTGTGCATAATATATGCTATATGCACATAAATAGCTATGCATACATAACTTTCGGAATAACATATTTTTGGCGAAATTTTTTATAAACATTTTAAGCATGTGTGTGTGAATAAAAAACAGAGTTTTTAAACAAAAAAAGCCACTGTGACGGAATATTTTGGCCAACAAATATGAAAATTAATTTATTAACAGTAAGTTTTTTCGTTGAGTCAAAAGCACTTTTCAAATAAAATGAGATAGGAGTATGTAAGTATGTACATGACATTATCTACGTATTAAAATCGTCGAAAAAATACCAACACATCTGAACAAGACGAGGGTAATTGCATAAATATGAAACAACTTTTAATATCTGATGTTTAACTCTTTCACCCTTGAGCTTTTCTAGATGTGGTGGTGATTTTTCGGTTTCGATCGCGAATACAGTTATAAGAATGACATTGTAAGAATGTTTGGAAATTGTGACAACTGTGAACGAAATATCGAATGTTGAACACAAATATACGTATGTAGTATATTAAAAAAAAACATTTCAAGTATTTTGGTAATTTTTCTAATTTTACGAGTTGCTTTACAGGATCGCTGCCCTTGTGACATGAATGGCAAGACATATGTATATGTGGTTGGATTAGAGCCTTACATATGTATGCCATTAAAAGGCACCTTTTTGGTGATAGTTTTCAGACTAGTTACTGTAAGGAAAATGATGGACGGAAAGAACTCTTTTGATTTGGTATTTGCAGCTTAGTTGATAAGTGCTTATGACTCCGAACTGCTGAAGCATTTCTCTTATTTTAACATTCAGCTATTTAAAGAGCAGAAGTTATAAATTGTTTCTATACATGTAAATACAAGCAAACTTTTATAATTTCTGCAATTCCACCCGTCTGTTAAGACGTGTTGGTATTTTGCGAGCGATATCAATACGTAGATAATGTCATTTACATAATCCTGCCTCGTTTTATTTCAAAGAGCTTGACTCAATGAAAAAAAAAATACTGTTTGTAAATTAATTTACATACTTGTACGAGATTGTTTGTACTACATACATACATATGTACATACGTACCTACGCTGGTTGTATTGTATCCCTCATATTTGTCAAATGTGTATTACTGTACGGATTATATGTTTATTTCAATGATATGTACATAGTAAGGATGTTAATTTTTTCGCTTTTCACGATCCCGGGTTAAGTCATTCGCNCATATGTACATACGTACCTACGCTGGTTGTATTGTATCCCTCATATTTGTCAAATGTGTATTACTGTACGGATTATATGTTTATTTCAATGATATGTACATAGTAAGGATGTTAATTTTT